TTAAAGTGTTAGTACAGCCCTTCAGTTTTGGGGAAGTTAGACTCTCTGAGAGCACTTGTTGCTTGTTTAATTGATTCTTGGGATTTAACTTCGTGGGCGCTCCACCTTTGTATTAAGTGGAGGGATCTAACCACTAAACCTTTAAAAAACACACGTGTAATGGTGCAAAAATTGTATTTCTTTGTAAGGTAAACATGGTACTCAAATATGTTCTGTGTTTACTCACATGGTGTTTGTCACCTCTGCCATAATGGTAATGTTCACTGTGTCATTAGTGTACATGCGAGCCCCATTGGCTGGGGTTGGAGGTAGAAACCTGGGCAGGTAGACTCCCTCTGAGCATGATGGTGCAGGAGGGTCCACTGGAAAAAGATTTTTAGGTCATTACAATAGATAGCTAGCAAAGTAGTGTAGCAAGCAATTTAACCTTGATATGAAGTTTATCAAATTTTGGTTGCTCAATTAAGACACTGGTTTGATATGTAAGGTTCCAAAACTGACAGAAAGTCAGAGTTGATTTGCACATGTGCAGAGGAGGGATAGAGGACATATTGGGCAATAGATGTTGAACACAGAGCTGTCAGGCAGGAGAAAAAGAGAGGGACCGCAGAGAAGATTGATGGATGTGGTGAAGGAGGACATGCAGAGGGTTGGTGTGACAGAGGAGAATGCTGGTATAGGGTGAGATGCAGGAAGATGATCTGCTGTGGCATAAAGGGAGCAGCCGTGAGTGAGTTCATCTTTTCTTGCAGCACTATGGAGTATAACATCCCTGTGCTCATTTTACTTTGAATAAACAGGATCCTCAAATGGTAAAAAGCTTTGAAAAAGAAAAAAAAACCTACCCATCAGAGCAAATCTGATTGGTATTTTGCTGAGAGCCTCGCTGGGAGTGATGTTTGTCTGAAAACCATAATCACTGATGATGATAGTCTTTTTTGGGAAGTCCTCCATTTCCAGCTGTACTGCATATGAACCTTCATCTTGCCTGCTGACAGGATTAAATGACAATGTGCAAGCCTGCACAAGTTTGGTGAAGACTTGTTAAAAGTGGGCATTGTGTTTGAGTTTGAGGGGTAGAAATGTTTGTGAATTGTGGAGAGACAAACGGATGGATGGAAGAAAAACATTTTATCAGCGCTTACCATCAGCAGTCCTTCAGCTAGAAGAGCTAAGAATTAATAATTTACAACATTTCTCTGTTTCTGTGACTAGTTTTTACTGTAGTATCATTCTGTAAGTGTATGTGAAACTCACTTGTGAGATGGTCAGAACAGACGGTGGTGTACAAGGATTACACTCATCTGCGTCTATGTCTCCAAATCTGCATTTAACCTTGTCTCCATCAGGGTCAAAGGCCGACAGGGTGAAGACTCTTTGACAGTTTGAAGGGACTCTGGCACATAGGAATCACATGCAGTACAGTAAATACAAAACTCACCCAAAAATCAGCACTGTAACTTTGGTTTTTAACAACTGCAGTTTCAACAAGGCTTCCTCCAAGGAAAACAAAAATAAAATGCATGTAAGGACTGTCAAGAATCACCCATTTAACCCTGTTAACATTCACCATGTCACTGGATATTCTTTAAGAGTTATAGATCGGGATAGAGCTCTGATATCTCCACATATTTTAAAAATATTGGAAAATGGAAAATCCTGTAACAGCAAAGCTGTAATGCCAAAACGTGTGAGGCACTGGTTGAAAGGTGAAAAGTGCCTTTAAAATTAGGTAGCCATAATGTTTTGCTGGTGTCCTGTTGTCTGCTACTGACTTGGTTTTATGTGAAAAAAAATAATATGCAAGTCACATTTTATTTTATACTCCTTGTGCCTGTGCAGGTTCTCTTCCTCCCACAGTCCAAAGACATCCAGGTTAGGTTAAATGTCATTTATTAATTAGCCATTTGTGTGAATGTGAATGCAAACGTTTGCCTGTCTCTCTGTGTTCACTCAGTGATGGAATGACAACCTTTCCAGAGAGTTTTTTGGCTTAACACAGTGCAAACACATAAGAGACGATCATGTCCCATGAAAGTTGCAAATACTATAATCATGGTCATGGTTCTGGGTCCTTGTGACCCAGCATTTTGAGTTTCTTTGTTTTGGTGATATTTTGTTTTATGGTTTATGTTCCTGTTCATTAAGTTCATCAAGTCTTAGCTTGTTTCGAGTTTCTCATGTTCCTTGTTTAAGTCTTTGATGATTAGGCTCTCTGTTGTGTCTTTGTCCTGTAGGTCTTTCTTCGTGTCCATGTTTATCCATGTTTCCCCAGC